TTACCAAAGTATTGGATAAAAATAGTACAAACGATGATTAACTCGCAGACGTCAAACTGCCAAATATCAGGCAACTAAATGAAGCTCGCGGGTTAAGCAGACACGTGTGACGTAATGCGGTCCCGGCTTGAGTACTTTCCTCACGATGTTTGATCACCAAATGTAGCGGAGGTAACGAATTGTCAACACACACACACGAATACATTACACATCATTACAAATGTAATAAGTAGTGATTAAAGGATAACCCCATTCCACTTACTCACGAAAATCTCACTGAATCTTAAAACTTTTAAGGAAGGACTTAGATAACGATGTTTGGTTAATTTCATTATTGAGTACTTGGCTTTCATTTAGGGGAAGAAATCACCGTCTGCAGAAAACCCGCCATTCATGTGAAGGTCTCACATTCAAAGCTCCACAAAGATGGATTTAAGAATCAATCTCGGTACTGCCATATCCTAGCCTCTTGACCACTCTAGCCGGGTCGTGTTTGATTGCTCAACTCAAAGTAAAGTATACGAGTGCAAATCCAGATCGATAAAAAGTGTTTTTACCAGGTAAGGCCCAATGCGCTATATAGCTCTTTTTCAGATGCGTCCTGGCCATAGATGATAACTCAACGAAGTGGCTTATCATGTGTAAATGTATAGCAGCCAAATGCTCGAAATGCATATTTCTAAATGTGGAGAGAAAAACCGGCGGACCCGAAGAAAAATCCACGCAGCCACGGAGAACACGCAAACTCCAAAAACAGAGGCGTCAGGGTTAGGATCAAACACACGACTTCCTGTATACCGGGCGAGGGAGATAACATCTTGGCACCGCGCGGCACCTCGTGAGTCAAAATAAGTTGCAAGTTAACTTTGGTTGTCCTTGTACGATGTTTTATTGCTATGAACAGGGTCCCATTGTTTACATGGAATGGTCATGTCAATAACATGTCAATACAACAGTGTCAATTGAGCAAGTCTGTCTCTGCTGATGAGACCTAGAAGGTCGAAACTGGTCATTTGCATACTTTTTTATGCCGTTGGATAACATTTTCTAGAAGTCTCTGAAGAGACAGAGTCATGTTCATTTTATGGATAGAACGACAGCTGTTGGAATGTGGAATTTAAACCACTAGCTCAGGATCATCAACGGACATGCGTTTTGCCTGGGGCTATTGTGATCGTGGAGACTGTCATTCTGCATTTGAAGTCATAATTAAGTGGTTGGATAATTAATAGCCGCTTTGAAACATTCCCCAAGACCAAGCATGGGGAACCTTTTCCTTACCGAGGGTCCGAGTAGGACCTTTAATCACCTTTGGAGGGCTAAACATTAACACACACATACACACCCCGTCGTTACCCAATAACAGGTAACGTCACAGTACGTGCACGTCAACCGAGTAATAATAAAAAGAGGCCCTTGCAGCGACAAAAGTGACTGGGCATTACTAATTAAAAAAAACATTGTTTTGCCAGGTCAAAAATACTCCCCTCCGAGGAGCCAGTAGTCAGTGCGGCTAAGACCCTTGCAGCGACGGCAAATCTCATTTGCGGGTTTGTTTCAAAGCGGGAGCCACAGCGTGGCCCGCGGTGCGTACGAAATGAAAGTCGACAGGTCGCATTTTGGCTTCCCCCACCCCCAATGTCGTCAAGCGGGAGTTTGTGCTCCCCACCCATATTCTTTGGTTCTTTCGGTAAAGCCACGTAGATAGAACATTTTAAAAAGTAAATAAAAAAAACTACGTTTCGATCCTTATGACGATCGCTTGTGTTGTGATCGAAACGTCGTAGTTTATTTTTTTTATTTTTTTCTATCTACGTGACTTCACCGAAAGAACCAAAGAATTATGGATTCCTGCAGTCACGAAAGTTGTAAGTCAAAAATTTCCCCGGCCCAATCGGTTGCGGGCGGGGTGCTCCAACCCAGGTGTGGCTCAAGGGAGCGGCATTCCAATGACGAATCGTGACGCGCACGGGCAAAGCGGAGACGAGAGCGGCCTCGAGGTTGCGCCAAGGGGCTCGCTGCTTCCATGTTGCCGACGAGACGAACTTGCGATCTTCCGGGGACGAGTGCGTAATGTCAAAGAGTTCATTAGAGCCGAGGTTGCATTTGCGCAACAGTTTAATGCGTACGTCGTTCGCGACCTATAGCTTCCAGAAGAGGGGTTTTTGTTTGAGTTAGATCGCGTAAATATATAAATGTGTCGTTAAAACCCGCCACCACACAACACAGCCAACTAGTCAGGGTTGTCGCGTAAACGGAACATGCCATGAAGCTAGCTGTAATTACTGGCGAAACGTCGTACTCAAGAGTGTAAATGTTGTGGCTTGGCTCTCCAACCTACACCGGCGTGCTGTACTAGTGACGAATTGGCATGTTCTGTTTAAGTGACAACCCTTACTAGTTGGCCGTGTCGGGTGGTGGCGGGTTTTAACGACACACATATTTATAACCCTTGAGCTACACCCATTGCAAACCTTTTTAAAACAGTCTGCCTCAGCAGCAGACCATGCGTTCCCACCTGATGATGGACGCTTGTGTTGCGCCCGAAACGTCGTGATTTATTTTATTTTATACCTACGTGACTTTACCGAAAAAAACAAAGAGTATGGACACATTTAAATATTTACGGGATCTAACCCAAAAAAACCGCTATTATGGATTTGCATAAAAATACATATTTGCATACGTTGTGACTAAACGCTTGGTGCTTATTTTGTATGACATTGTATGTTTACGACAATTACTAAACTAAAACTTTAGTTTTTTTTAATTTACCAGGTAAGGTCCAGAGCTATACAGCTATTTTGCAGAAGCGACCTGGCCACAAATGATTGCTAAACGAAGTGACTCATAATGTGTATAATTATAGCAGCCAAATAATCTAAATGTGGAGAGAAACCCCGGACCCGAATAGAATTCCACGCGACCACGCAGGAGAGAGACACCGCAAACACCAAATATACAGCAGCAGGCGTCAGGGTCGGGATCGGGATCGAACCGACGACCTCCTGCATACCAGGCGAGAGAGTTAACATCTCGCCACCGCGGCGCCCAAACGTAACGTTGAGTAAGTGTTTGAAAATAAGTCAACATACTCTTTGGTTCTTTCGGTAAAGTCACGTAGTTAGAAATAAAATGAGCCTGATGACGACCGCTTGTGTTGCGATCGAAACGTGATGTTTTATTGTATTTCTACCTACGTGACTTTACCGAAAGAACCAAAGAGTATGGATTCCTGCAGTCACGAAAGCTTCAAATCACGAAGTCTACAGATGTGAGACGGTGCCCAAGATACGTTACACGTCAGTGGTTCTCAACATTTTTTGGCCCTTGTTGAATTTTGTTTCAGCCGAGTTAGACCCTTGCCTGGCCCAACATGGTTCTGAGAAATAAATGTATGAACGAACATCAATATTTTAACCAATTGCCAATTTTGTTAGGTACCCTATCTGGTAACTGTGAGCAGATAAAAAATAAAAATTCAACGGACGCTCTGCAATGCACGGCGTAATTTTGTTCGCGCTCGCTGGTTACTCATGGAAACCCACTTTGTTTACGATCAATGAGTTTAGAAATGACGTTTGTATCGTTCTAGGTTACCATATGTATTTAAATGTTATCGTAGTTATTTTATATTGGCAGATTCATACGTCATTATTCACCATTGGCTCTCATGTATGAAATCATTTCACGCATTTTAAATAAATCACGAACCCCCCGGTTGAGAACCACTACATTGCGTGTGTGCGTCACGGGGCTCGGCAGATGATACAATCAGTTGTTGTACCCACACCAACGCTTCCACATCTATACTCGCCAGTGACATCAACCCGCACTCACCATCGTGGTGGCGTAGGCTAAAATAACCCCTGCGACCCGCATGCCGTGAGGCAGTGGATTGTCGAGAGGGCTGTTCGATGACACACACACACTCTCAACAACACCGACTACCGGTGTGGACGTATGACTGGTAAAGGATGTTGTACTTCCAACACTATTAATCTAAAAGTTCGTGTAAAGTTAATGGTTTGGCAATTTGCAGTTCCAACTTTGAAGAAAATACACTTTCCGCATTATATATATATTTTTTAATTTTGCCGATGGCTCCAGTTCGCGTGATTTTGACCAAGGCTAGACACATTCATCATGTCCCGTTGGGATTTGAGATTTTTTGGGGAGGGGGGGGGGAAGTGGGCTGGCTGGCAGCACAGCGCTTTCGCATTTCCATAAAACAATAAGTAATATTAAAAAAAAACTTTTTAAAAAACACGCTTTAATGAAATGTACCGTACTAGTAATGGAAGAGCTCCACGACTCCAGGAAGTGGCCCCGAAGCTCGCCATAACGTAAGGGGACCGTGGCCAATTACAGCCAACGTCAGTTGTGCGTGGACAATTAGACCCAAGCCGAAACATAACATATACAAAATAATGTAAAATATATATATATTTTATGATAGAATATAGTATTGTCATCAGTATGACATACGTATACCAAGTTTGCAGTCGATACCACATTGAGAAGTGGGTTAAAAATGAGTTACAAGCTTTGAGGAAACAACAACATTGAGTTAATAGAAAGCGTGTAATAATAATAATAAAAACCATGGTCAGTGCGTAAGGTAGCAGGAGATCCCAGGACTAGTTCAGATATCACTCGCCACTGGCATTATTATTCATGACCAGGAATGAAACTCGGATCGAGGGGGTTCAATGTGCAGTGCACTAAAAGCCCATGGCATCACCACTCCCCCCACGGTGCATCTTCCTGTTAAATTTCAATAACAATTTACTGCCTATACGGGTTATCATCACTGAGAATTACAGCACGGTAAAACGTTCATTTAGTGCTGTCTGATTTTGTCAAAATTAGGTCACGCTAAACAGACCCGTAAAACTACAGTATACTGACAAAAGCACAGCTGGAACCTCCAGACACCATCACTAAGGTCAATACGTCGCTTTTTAAAATAAACATCGAAAGATACCCAACAAAGCAAACATGGCGAAGCATCTTGTATTCTTACTGCCATTTACATTAAACTTTAGCACAAAGTACTGTACGTCAAATATCCGACTGTCTTGACGATTATCCACCAACACCCAGGGCAGTATGTATTAGTGCTTGGGAACACTTCTTTCTATAGACGTTCACAAATCCAACCGTTTCAGATATCCGCCGACTCTACTCCAATTCTCAGCGAGTCCGATAAGCGATATTGTAACGCACTACATTGTTTTGCTCATACGTATTTTGCAAGTTTTCCATTAAAGCAGAAAACAGTGTCAATAAACAATTAAAGTCCCAGAACATCTTTCACATCTCAATAGGCCCATCTCAATAGTTTATTTGTCTCAAAACGTCACTGGCAGGGTGACGCATGACAAAATTGTTCAGCAAGGACTACCAACAACTGACTGGGTTTGGGTGGTTTGAGTTTTGGTAACAAACACGCCTTGCTATAAACAAGCCCATGCATAAACACAAACGCGAAAGAACACCAATGTGTTGCATATACGCTACATCCCAATATTTTTTCACATAAATCTAACATATTACTTTGATGACCGGTGTTAAACTGCCATGCGTAGGACAGCTTATGACAATGCATCCACAGCCTACTGCATACATCATCACAGCCCTCCCGGCGTTTGCAGTCACCAAGGGACATTTTAATATTTGACCGACCTCTCGTCTCCTTGGTTGAGAACCCCGAGAAATGCATAAACTGTAATATATATTTTGCCTTCAAGTGTGCTGTTTGTTGCTGACCTTTTCAGCGTTTTTGCCTTGTGGACAACCATGATTTAAAAATGATCTATTGTACAAATATTTTTTGGCTGCAAGTCCACTCCTTTGTGGCGCATAACACGACCTGCGCAGTACTTGTGAATAACATTACTTGTCCACAACCAAAATCATGCAGAATATTCACAATTTCATTAGATCTCAGAAGCGAAGCAGGCTTGAGCCAAATGTTTGGATGGGTGATCACAATGCACAAACACGGTGTCACGGGGCTGCATGGCGAGCACAAAACGGCAATGACGCAACACCCATTGATATACTGTCGTATGTGCCAACACCTGCTCCACGCCCTTCATTAACTCGCACCGAGCACCATCGCAAAATATGGTAAAATAACCGCCACAAATGGGCCTCATCCAGTAGCGGCTTAACAAAAGGGACGTAATACTTTTTACCTTTCTTTGGGGCCGTCCAAGCATAACCCAACCATTTGCGTCAGAACAAGGCATGTCTGCCTCCCGACGACCAACTGCTTATGAAAAGGAGCGACAATTGTTGCTTTGAACAAAAAGATAGTCTGGCCTTGGACCTTGCCTTATCCCACGTAGATACTGGCAGACACTGTACTCTTTACACAAATTTTTTTGAGATTGAACTTTTTCAAAAACATTGAAAACATAAACCACACAATTGTCCAACATATAAAATATGTACTCTATGGGCATCATGTTATACAAAAGCATCTGCAGTTCATTATATCACTGGGACAAAGTTTAATGTATGTTCGTTAGGACACTGCTCATTCAAATTGGTTTCTCCCTGCATGGTTCAGCAAGTGACACACCAGTGTCAAATCACGTTTTACCAATACACTCCACATACTGATATAACTTAAATGGTTTGGAGGCAATTTCATTCATTGTCCTCTAAGGAAAAAACAACTTTGAAACTGCATGTTTTATTTTATATTTACAGTGACTAAAAAGCATATTTCATATATTGTTTCAACAATGACCATGTTAGCATTAAAACAATTAACCTTAAAAATTAATATACACGTCGCTCCATCCTTGTAATATACACAGGGAGGTAAATTCACCGTTTGGTCTCCGTTATAGTGTATAGTTTTGGTAAACAAACTATTTGGAGAAACCGCGTTTGGCAGTTGTACACAAGCACAAAAAAATAAACACTCAACAAATTCATCAATATAGTACTGCCTGAAAAGGAAATACAATAGGCGACGTCTTGGGGAACGGCCCTTCTTCATAGCACGTTCAGGGCCATTGCCCCAAAACATTCCCTGTTAAATATATATTTTACATGATATTTTTTTACAAATGTATTTCATATTTGAAGAGTTTTATTTATGAATGTGCCGAGGTGTATATTTTTTGGTACACAACACATTTGTCAGTTCACACTACAAGTAGGTGACATCAACTGCTGACAACTACAACTGTGGTGTGGACTGCAAGGCGTAATAATACAAATTACCTGGTTAAACACTAACTGCGATATTTTACACGTACAGTACTGAAAAAGTTGAGATATATATAAATTTACTACAGTTAATAAGTAATCTGCAACAGCAACGGGAAAAAGCAATTCACAGGAATGAAGCGAGGCTGGTAATTAAAATGTGATGTAGCACAACAGGAATTTCACTTGACAAATGACCACTGAAACCAAATAAGCCGCTCATGTCAGGACCATTATCAAGTGCATCACTCTTTATATGCAAACATATCCCCATTACATTCTCACATAAAGATGGCAACTTGATCCATAGACAAGTAAAATGATAAAGCAATGCTCCAAGTTAGCTCGAGAATAATGAAATCAAACCCATCACGACTCGGCAAAAGATGTGGATGTGTGGGCACGACAGCTCTCAAAGATGAGCGCACTGGGGCCCGTAAGCCGTCTGTTCACTAATGCTGCCAGGTTCGACGCAGTTGTGTGCACTCAATGTTTAATTAAAGAAGGATGAACACCTCAACTTGACTGCCGTAATGAGTTTGGGGAGTTATGCTATCGACTTGGGGACTCCTCCATAATTTACTTGTGACCCTGAAGAGTAAAGAGTCTTTTTAGTGCACGTTTCTATTTCCTTCTTTTTCCCCCTTTAACGTGCTTGCGGACACCGGAGGCATCCTCCGCATCATCCAAAACCTGTTCCCTTGGTCTCTTCTTTTTCCCATCTGTTTCCTTCATTTCCTGCAAAAGGAAACAAATGGTAAAGGTGCATGCCTGTAATTTCTTGCTCACTACAGAACTAAAGGCAGTTCCTGCAGAGGCCATCTAGAGGGTATGTGACTTATCCTTTGACCTATTTGACCTAGGCTTTCATGCTGGGCCAGATGTTTTGAAAGAGGGGGGTGTACCCACGCTGAAAATCACCATCTGTCAATCAACTAACTGTGGTGTATCCTTTTTACACGACTGGGTGGACGGATACGTAGGATTCCAGAATCTTACCCATTGTTTATACAGACACATCAGATTGAACTGGTGACCTGTGGAAATCAAGTCCAAAGTGCTGACTCTTACATAAGAGTAGCATACCTGAGAAAAAAACCCCAATGTCCTTCAGTCCTAAACAAAAGTTGACAAAACTGAAAATGTTTTAGGTTACAATAAGGCACGTGAAAACAATAAACTGACAACACTAGCATTTTGATCAAATGCACTAAAGGCCGACTGATGTTTACCATGTTGCACAATTGCTAGAAATTAAATTAGAGTGTATAAACCACATCTCTACAAATATCACTGAAAGCAAATGACCATATCATTAACTGGGCCTATTCTAATGACATTTTAACAACGATAAAAGCCTGTATCATGTGTTCATTTAAGTATATGGCAGTGTCACAGGACACAGCAAGTCATAAAGTTGGATAGATAGCTATGGTTACCATTCTTGATATATAACTAATCATAATAACCATATTATAAACGTACTGGGTAGATTTAACACTGACCAAAACTGTCTAAACACAAACCATTTTGGATATCACTTAACAGAGGCCTTCAACACTTGACAGAAAAATGCAACCATCGCTTCAACATTGAATTTGTCTTTTAACAATGAGCAGTTTTCAACAACACAATTGTACAAACGCCAATATTTTTTTGCGATAAAAAACACACAAGGCAGTACACGACGTACCATACGAGCAAATCTCTGGGCTTCGGACACCCGCTCTGTCAGCATCATCACCTCCTCCTCGTTGGTGGGGAAGGCGGGAAGCTTCTTTCCAATGAGATGCTCGATACGCTGAAACAGCTCCACATCGTACCTTCACCAAACGACAAATGCATCACCAGAAGAAGAAAAAAGTGCAATTAACATTGCGAAGTGACCAGAGGATACTAATAAATGTATAACTAGGATATGCCAAACCCATATTTGAAGCTTTTCGAATAAGTCACGACATGTTCAGGTTCCAAGTGCCATCTACTGTAGAAAGTTGTAACTGCCTCATTCTGTATAGAGGCAATTTTGGAAGCTTTGAAGCGGCCATGGAGCATGTTCGATGGGATAATTTAAGTTCATAATGACGAAATGTTCTATCCTAACATGTTGCACTCGTTAGTATTGATTGCACATCCTTGTCTACGCCTACAACTTTTTAAGTAAAGTTATAATTATTCCTGCTCAGGCCTCTTGACAAATTATGTTTCAGGTGAACATCTAAAACCGTTAATTTAAACACCTCAACTACCAGCAACACAAAGGAGAAGCCATAAAAAACACATTTTAGCAACCAAAACTTCCTAACTTATGAAATCTAACATTTTATTCTACAGCTCATATCAAACAATTACATACAAACAGGCGTGCAGTTATAGGCATTTAAAAGCCACTTGGTACAAGTCTTACTATTTTATCTGCACAAGAAACCAGACAGAAGTGGCATTGGCACTCTGCCAAAATGCATTTTGCACTGCAGCTGCGTCAAGGTTCACAAACACTTACTCTCAATTGTTGAACACTGAAAAAGGCTTTTGATTCTTGGTAGCAGCAACTTACTGTGACACGAATGTGATGGATTTTCCAGACCGGCCTGCCCTTGCTGTTCGACCCACCCTGTGAATGTAGTCCTAAGAGAAAACACAGGTGTCCAATGCCACAGATTAGGATATAACGTTAAAAAAGACATCAATATTTTCCGCACCTCTGATTAGCACGGTTGGCTACGTGAGGTATGGAACAAGTTCAACATACATACAATGTCTGATGGAATTTCCTTAGCTCCTTCAACTAACGTAACAGCACAATGGTTTCTTTCCGAAATGCAAATACAACCACGTTATGCCATTTCTAATTAGCATAATTCTTGTAACTTTACTGTGCACAACAGTGTGTTCTATATGTAGGTGTCAATGGAAAATATTTGTCATAAAAATATTTGTCGTACTCTACACTTGGGAGACCAATGTATAGGAATTAACATCAACGTGCAATGGCTACATGTATTTAGTCTACTTTGGAAGTGCATGTTGAAAACACCCTTGCTTTGACAGTAAGAAAGCCCAGGAAGAAATATTATCTGGTAGTGATAACATCTGCCAAAACACTCTGTGGCATTTTGTTGAAAACTGAGAAGGGACCAAGGCAAGTGGTGGAGTTGAACTGAATTTCCATGCAGGCTTACGGCTTGGCGCTTAAAATGGTGAAGGGGTGAGCGGTGTGCGCAGGTGGGACCCCACCTTGGAGTGAGTGGGAATGTCAAAGTTAATGACAACGTCCACATGCGGGATGTCCAGCCCTCGGCTCGCAACGTCCGTCGCTAAAAGAATAGAGCGAGCCTTGCCCTTGAATTTGTTGAGGGAGCCCAAGCGCTTGTTCTAAACACATATCCATTCAATCATTCCTTCAGTTAAAGTCAAAACAGATACCTGGTAAGATTTGTTTTTTTACAAGAAGCAAGTTAATGTGAAATCGTGAAGGTATAATGAATACAAATCAAACATTTGACATCTGCATTACTGTTCCACTACAAATGCATTGAACATAATGTATCTTAAAATAAAATCAATTGTAAGACCAATTGTAAAGAGAACAATTTAAATGTATCACGAGCAACCCACCCGTCTTGAAAAAAAGTTATTGAATGCCAGAGTTTAGGATATAATGCTAAAAGCGACATCAATAAGTCTGATGGAAATGTCTGTCCCTCTGTCCTGTCTTCCTGCCAGCCACCAATCTCCCCAGGCTTTTTTTCCCATATAGTATGGTAAGGTATCCCATGCATTTGTGCGGGATACACGGCTGAGGTCAAGGTTAGCGCGGGGGAAGCGTTGCGTCAGCGTGACGCCTCAATGCCGTGGGATGCGTTTGACGTGGTCACCGCTCATGCGATCTTCCCCACCCACGTGCCAGCCAGCCAGGCCTCAAGCCAGCCAACCAGCAAATGTTTACCTAATATCGTATATTACTGCAATGTTATACTTTGTATATTTACGTCTATAAATATGTTAATCAAAATTATCCTAAAAATACATGCACTGGGAATTTTTTTTTTAGCAGAGCAAATACTGCTTGTAAAAAAAACGAGGCTCTCTTTACAAAACACACAGTCAGCACTTGTATGGGCCTGTCACTACAGAATAATAGGTAGCCTGGGAAGTGGTACAAAGCTTGATATTTACTTTGAAAATGCTGAAAAAAAATCTTCATAAATCAAGGTGCCAATAGCATTTCACTGAACAAACAATGATCTCAAATAGAAAACGTCTTGTGCTTGTGGGTTGGTACTTTGGATAGATTATACAAGGGCTGGCCCAACTTCCTGACCCTGCCAGCTGGATAACAAAATCTTCATATAAGACGTGTGGGACGATCATATGAGGTGGTCACGTAGCCAGTTTGCTCATGCTGGTTGGCTACGGAGTTCAGAAATTGCCTGGGAGTGTTTATGTCTGGCTCGGCTGTTAGAAGCGAGTGGCCCAGGCAGCTACCACAGATATTTCCTGTTTCAAGTAAAATAATATTGAAAAGTGAAACAACTATTTGCTGCATGGTTCGGCCACCCCTGCATTATATTACAGATTTTCTTTCAGCAATAGTTTAAAATGTAAACATTTCCATTTTTGACATAGGTAAGAGCCTGTTCAGGTGCACGTAAAAAATATCTACATTAATAAGTGACATTTTTAAACGCAAATGATATGCAATATTTTTTTTAGATTTTAACAAATTCTGTGCCATATACTAAAACAGAATAACATCTTCCAGTGGTGATGTACATTTGTCAAAATTGGTTAATGCAACAGCCAGGAGTAACCCAATCTAGGTAGTCTGCAATATGCAGCAGAACCTCTGCCGTGGGAAGAGAGTAAAATCTCATACCTGGCTCATCTGCCCGTGCAGTGGGATGGCTGTGAAGCCCAGGTTTCGCAGGAGCAGAGCTATGCGCTGAGTGTTGTTACACGTGCTGCAGAAGATGATGAACGAGTTTCCCGCCAGCTCATTGAGGATGTAGACCAGGTAAGAATCCTGCAAAGTAATATGCGGGTTACAGCATTCATTAAAACACACAGCATTACCTTCATACAAATGTCACACTGGTTTCAGGTCAGCATCAATGCTCAACATGATAAACACTAAACATGTATTTCTATTGCAGAAAGGGAATTTGATATAGCTAATTTAATTGCATCAGACATACCAATATGCATATGTAACAGTTAATTCAAATTCAGCCTGACATTGTAGCGTTCAAGAATTGAAAAGACGTCCTCCAACAATGGAATATACAGTAAGCTCCCGGCTCAATGGACTAACAGAGAACAGAGGAGGGGGCAGGGGGAGGTCTGGTCTGGCTAAATGGATTTTCTGGATGTGTTCACACATTAATATAAAAATAACATAGCCGTGAGCCTCCCTCACATTTAAATGAAAGAAAACAAATCTTGCATTACATTTAAAATGAAATGTTTTTAGTCAAACTAGATAAATACAATAGACACACTATTGTATAATGTTGAGTTCTGTACTCATCACTGATACAACGCAGCTGTGTTCATGCCCTTGGCAAAACTAATTAATCACCGAGGTTAGTATCACTGTGTAACACTTAAAAAGTTACAAAGAAAACTAAATTAAAACTAACTTTAAAGTTTACTACTTAAGATTACACAACTGTACATCACATTACACTGAATATAATTGGTCATTATTCTCATTATAAGACCTGTGTATGCATGCATACCTGATAAAAAAAAGAGCTGGCCTCATGGGCATTTGAAATTGTCTACATGCAGGGTACATTTTTAGATTGCAGAATTGTATATTTTCCCCACCCCATATATTGGTCTAGTTAGCCGGTGGCTTACTGTGATGATAAAATAAATCTGGTATGAACACCGAGTCTTGTTCAACACAATTACACTATTTTCACATACTGGATCACAACACCTGGTGCACTCGAGCCTGTCATGTTAAGCATGGTGTTTCACAAATGAGTGTTAAAAGTATCAAATAGGCTTAAAAACTTCCTGTTGGCAGACGCTTTTTACACTTCCAAGCAAATGTCCACCCAACATGCATAATGATGTTAGTCACTGTAAATATATGAAATGCAGGAAAACCTTGCCCATGGCAGCTTCATCGATTGCGTATTTTGGCTTTACACGGTTTACCTAATGGAGGTCTGTTTTCCAGAACACGGGGCAATGTTTTGGCTATGCATGGTTTGACGTTGCTAAGAATCTCATCTCCGCGTCAAAAAGTAGTGCCGCGAGAGTGCTTGCATCCATCGTAAGGTGAGAATTAACTGACTGTGAGAAATATGTATTTAGCATTTTTTTGTGTTTTTTTTCATGTGATGATGTAACACTCAACATACAAAACGGCGAAATGCAAATGTTCATACATTGCCGCATGCATCTAGCCGTCCAGTCGGAGGACATTAGTCATACGGATGCCTAGATTGTAAATGAATAACGTTCAAGTGACGGTCTCAGGAGCGAGTGTCAGGCTGGGAATTCAGTGTCGGGGTGAGTGCTGCTGTGCTGCAACAGTAATGGAGATGGGGAATTAATGTTGAGGTGATCTTGAAAAACTAAAAAGCACACACACAAGAAATGGATAGTTACTCAACATCCTTTAGTACAATGACAAGGGTGGAAATCATGTATAATTAAGTAAACAAAGAGGAAGGGGGTGATAAATTTGGACCCAGGAACGCAACCCTGTTTTTTTTCATGAGGTCTATTATTTGCCGAATGCGATTTTGCCCAACACAGCATTTTCCAGGAGCGTAACCCCTGCATTCAGAGGTCTGCCTGCAATTGAAATGTACCTTAAATTTGGCTGGAATGAAGACGTAGTATTGCTGTAACTTTTCCACAGTCTGGTATTTGGTAGAGACAGAACACTTCACTGGCTCTTTCAGTGCTGCCCGCTGCAGCTTCTGAACCTAGAGACCAGGGACAAACACGTAGGTAAAGACAGATTTAATATTGAAAAAAATATACGTTTATATAGTTTTGTTATAATCTGAAGGCATATGCTGCATGTACTGATAATTACTTACTTTTTTAGTCATTGTCGCTGAAAACAGGTATGTTTTTCTCTCCTTTGGAATCACCTTCAAAATTTTGTCTACCTATGGAATGAAAGATATAAGTGAATCATAAGTATTGACTGTGCAGTCGTTCACCAAGGCGAAATACACCCAGGGGCAATATGTAAATGCAAAACACAACACAACATTTCAGATAATTATGAACAGCTCTATATTTATTTTGCGTCATGATTTAAATGGAAATTACCAAACTATATCTGAAATCACTGTTTGGCTATTATTTAAAGACAGCGAGGAAGCTCACTTATTGTTTTTTGTTTGTAGGCTTGGCACAGGTTCCCCCTGGCAGCCTCATCAGGCTAGCCTGGCAACAAAAGCAGGCTCTTCAAGTGAACCGTGTGGCTCTCTTTGAAAAGCAAGCTCCAAGCTTTCACCCAGGCCACCCTCGAAACCAATTGTGACCACACAGTGCAGAAGCGAGACCGAGTGGCCCATTACTTCCCTCTCTTAGTTTAAAATATATTTGCTCGGGATAATATAATTGTACCCACTCTCGCATGAAACATTGTTTAAAGCAAGTTTATTTTTAATGATTTATCCTGGCCATGAAAGCTAGGGAGTGAGAAGAGACAAGTGGAATGAAGTTGGGAGTGGCTGAACCCACGAAAGCCATGTGGCTCATGAAGTGAGGGAATTAATGGTCCCAGGACTATACCTGGGCTGCTGAGCCTCCTCCTCGTCAGTAGTTCTAGAAATTTGATATTAAAGTAGAACCAAAAAGGCAATGATTGATCTGTGGCTTCTGACATGAAACAAAGAAGTAAAAATTGTGGAAAACAACAAACCAACCTCAGTCTCAAAATCCATATTAAGGATGCGATCAGCCTCGTCCATAACCAAGTATTTAAGGGCACGGATGTTGAAGCCCTTGGTATTTTCCAGGTGGTCCACCAACCGCCCAGGAGTTGCTGGAAAGCACGAGTCAATCTGTCAACATTTAAATATTACCGGGACAAGTTGACTTATTTCGCATTAATTTTGTCAATGGGAGATTTGGTGCATTATCAGGTATACCAAATATTGCATTAGAGCTGTTTGACATACATTCAATTAAATGTCACTTAGCACGTCATGATAATTTTCATCTAAAAGCTCTTTACAAGGTATCAACAAGGGATTTTTCGCATTTTTCACACAGAGTAAAATAGTTACCATGGCTTAAATGCAACTCAAATAAGCAACAAATTATAGAACACATATATGGCAATTAAAAGAACTAGTTGATAAATCTTCATATGAACCATATGTGAACAATGACGTGTTGCTTAATTTTTTAATCAATACGACAAAGCTTTAAATAGCACAGTATTAAACACTTACCGATAATTACATGAGGTTTCTTGGCCAGGGCTAGGGACTGTGACATCATATCAATACCTCCAACCACCACAGCTGTGAAAAAAACATGCATAGGTGAGATACAGATATTATCATTTGGTGGAATATGCCACCATTATAAGTTCGAGTAATTTTACCTTTACTTAAAATAAACATTATTTAACTCATATATACACACATATAAACAACCACAGCATATTGGTGTTTGCCAACAGTTGATAAATATCAAGGTATTATTGAGTTTCTGTTTATAAAGTTACCAACCTGATTTTATGCCGATGGAGGAGCCCAGGGCCTCAAACTGCTCAGAAATTTGGAAGGCAAGTTCTCGCGTGGGTGTGAGGACGAGCGCGAACAGCCTTTGTGGTGCGTCCAGCAAGGCCTGTAGAATAGGCAGCGCGAAGGCCCCCGTCTTCCCAGAGCCTGTCTCCGCAAGACCGATTATGTCTTTCCCTGAAATAAGTGACACAGTGCACACCGCTGCATCGAAAATATGTTCAAAGATTCATGAGAAGTTGAAAATTCAAAGGTCACTATGACCATACTTTTTACATTTGCAGTGCAGAATAAACCAGTACAGTACATTATGAAAGCCTCGCTTTTCGCAACTGACCAAACCACTTATCCGCTGCACCACATTTAAAACACTATTTAAGCATACATTTGGACAATTATTTACCTGGTTGTAGAGCCAGCAAAGGAAACTATACATGCAGTTACGCTTTTTTTTATTGCAGCATAAAAAAGTTGCCAACTAAAAGTGTCGGGCGCGTGTTATGCACCATTTAATAACACAAAATGAATAATTCCCAAACTTCAAAACTAGCGAGATGCCCTACCCTGGAGGGCCACGGGAATGGCTTCCACTTGAATCTTCGTGGGCTGCTTCCATCCTAACTGCTCGCACGCCTCGCACAACACCTCCGTGACGCCCTAGGGAAACAACCCGACTGTTACATTAACTTTGCAGTATTTCTCACACTTTCAGAATATTGTTGAGTTACATACATTTGATGTCATTATTATAAATATACGGTATTACAAAACCATTCAAGATGATACAAAATTAGCCGATTTAGTCCATTAGTTGTGTAGAGATGGTAGCATCACTACTGTGTACACACGCACGCGTGTGACATCAATATGCGGGGGAGCGTCACGACCACGCGGGTCTACACACACACGGAGGCGGGAATGACGTCAGGGCCGGTTCTGGACTCGGGAGGCCAAGAGGGTGGTGTGAGAACGTGGCAGTCTCTGTGACCCCGGCTGGACACGTGACTGGACCCCAGTGGGGGCCGGGGGCCTAGGGGGCACCTCGGGGGGCACGTGGACAGCAGGGGGGGGGGCTTCGAGAGGGTTCTCGAAGGGAGGCGTGGCCGGGGCGGGGCCCGGGCACGCCGAGGCCCATATAAGCAGCCTCCTCACGAGGTTCGAGGCTGCCCGTATCAAGAATGAAGATGCATCGTGAAGACGCCAAGAAGAGACCTGTGTGTAGGTCCCAGCCGGATGACTCTAGGATAGCGGTAGACGTGTAAGTCTCGCCAAGCCAGGAGGCTGTACCTCCCTAGAGTATCTGAGAAGTGTGTGCTAGCTAGAGTAAGTCGGTGGTCACCACCCTATGTGTAATGTAAGAGTTAACTGTTTTGTTAATAAATAAATAAGTGTTGCCTCCCAAGAAGTTGTGCACCTAATTCGAATCCACTACAGTTGTATTGATGTTTGCTTACAATTAACGTATACGAGTTTAACACTGGTATTTTATGGTGTGGGTGATGTGTACCTTATTGCAATAAATGTTTTATCTCAGTCTCTCATCACCCCGCACTGATCAAAGCGGTGAAGTAATGCATTCATCTAGGAGTAGATTACCAAAGAGATGTATTGCTGTTTGTATTGTTTGTTGTAACTTTCTGACCCGTCCCGAGTGGACACCTGTGAAAAAGAGCTCATCGGATTTCTCGGGTTTCTTCTTCAGCCGTCTGGAACGCTCTTCATTCCGAATTCTAAATTGAAAACTACTTTGCTTATAACTGCTTTGTGTTTAGTTTGTCCTCCAGCATCTCCGATTAGCACAGTTGGCCACGTAGAGTGCGAAAGAAGTTCAACACATTTCCACACGTACAAATAAATATTCTGATGGAATAGCATCCAATTACTGTACTGCCATCTCGTGGCCACCTCGCAGCCTAGGCCTAGGCCGCCAAGATGCGATACCACAGCGAAAGCAACGGACCTACACTCAACAATCGCGCAAACCACCAACAATAACGTCTTCTTAAACAGCCAGAACCTCACTCAAACTCTGCCACGGGGACGGCCGCTAACAGCAGAGCGTTACACAGCAATAAATGCAGCGGCGCGCAACGCGATCACCGACCATGCCGCGCACACACCGCCCAGGCACGAGACCCGAATGGGCGCCTTGAACAACAACAACAAAAACCCCACAGCGACAAAGTGAGGATAAGAGGCCACTCACCAGCTCCTTGAAAGTCTTCGCCTGCTCGGCTACTGCCTCCTCCTCCACCTCCTCCACCTCCTCGTCGCTCGCCACCGCCTCCACGCTCTCAACGGGCGCCGCCATGCTTCTCGTGACGTCACCAGATAGAGTGACACGACGTCATCGCGCCCCTCTCGTAAAATCCGAAGGGGATGACGTCGCCGCCGCCCCGGGGGGGTTTTTGGAATTGTTGAGAGGCGAGTTCATATCCCACGGAATCGATGCCGGGATTTTGAGTTGGTCGCAAACGAATCGATAGATAGTACGATAAATATTCGTCGATGTCGCGTGTTTTTTTTGATCGATATGCATCGGATTCGATTCAGGAGACTTAACCGCACGGGTTATTCAACGTCTCGCACCGAGTGTGTTTTTTTAATGTATAAACTATTATATATTTTTAATACCATCTAAGGCTCACCGAGCTATTTAGCTCATTTTCAGAAGCTACACTGCCACAAATGACTGATCATGTCGACATTTTTTTTATAGCAGCCAAATACTCCTAAGGGGCCTTCCATAAATGACGTCAACAATCGTCCACAATCGCGTGACGTCATTTATGGACGGCCCCTAAACGCACGATGTTTTTGATTCCTGAACGTGGAGGGGAAAACCCGGAGGAGGAAACCCCCCCCCCCCGCCCACACGCGACCACGGCGGAGAGAGACACCGGCAGACTTCCAAAAAATGTAAAGCAGGCGGTCAGAGTCCGTGGTCGAGCCCACGACCTCGTGTGTGTACCAGGCGAGGTGGTGAACATCTCCTAGCCACCGTGGAGTCGGCACGGGGATCGGTTCCATTGAGCGGGCGCTGTTCGTTCGTGTGCTGAGCGTGGGTTGTTGGAGGTGGCTATGGTGGAGCAGGCGTTTGGGGGGGTAAGGCAGGACCGGCGGTCAGGTTTTGCATACAATCGGGATTGACGAGCACAGGACCAAAGCACCAAGCGGCCAGCAACAAACAGCCCTATTGAACGTTTAAATGGCATGGGTTCATAATACGTTTCTGTGAATTGGGCACGGTTAAGAGGAACTTGGGGAGGGTGGGGAAGGGGTGAAGGGGAAGGTGATGGGAGGGAGTTCCAAAGTGGGCACGTGCGAGTGAAGATGCAAAAAGTGAAGCGTTGTGACTGAGTGTGTGTGTGTAAGTGGCTGAGTGATGTTACCTTGCAATGGAGTGAGCGAGTGAATCCGTTGGCGAGTTGCTGTGATTTGCAGTGCGGTGGGTGAACACGGTGTTGAGACGACGCAGCATTGCAGACCGAGTCATGGAGCGAAATTCGTGGAAGCTGATCATGGTTGGTGATGGCCACCGAAATAGATTGGGACTGTCTCCACACCTGCAAATTCCACAGGGTGGGCCCATGTAGCCTAGGTAATACGTCAGCCTGGTCGTGACGATGGAAGATAAATAAAAAAAATGAATAAATATGAAAAATAATGCAGATGACTCACGAAGATCATTTGGTTGTTTTTTCCCCCCGTTAATTTTCGCACGGCTAAGAGCACAGCAATAATCAGGGCTTCAATCTTTGAAACTCACCTCATACATCATTTGTCATGAAAACGATAGCGGCAACCTTACAAATATTTCCCCAAAAATGTAACCACTTGAAAGACATATGAGTCACTCAAAAATGCTCATAATCGGAAAGGCTCGCTTGATAACGTCAATGATTTAAAGTTTTGTGGCAAGAAAAAAACGTAGAATACAGTATATGTGACCTGAGTTGTTCTAGCTGGTAGTTTTTTTTATTACATTGGAACAAAGAGAGCTTTGAACAACCCCCAAAAACTTTCAAATCTTAAAAGGAAAAGATAACATCGACAGATACGCTGTCCATTGTTTAACAAAACTCTCAGAGGATGCCAGTGCAAGATAATGTATTTAAACCCATGCGCAGTGAGAATATTAATATACCGCATGTGAAAAGCTGCATTTAACTCATGCAGTGGTCCATTTCATTCTCGCCAGCGAGTTCAAATGGTAAATTGTTAAACGTATTTTTCAATCATAATAATGTTGCTAGGTCTCACAACAATGTTAGTTGGGCCGTGAAGTGGGGTATTTAGCCAATTCCATCATGGGATTGTGTGTAATGAAATGCTCTATTTATACTGTACCGAGAAAAAACCCAAATGTATACGAGAACACAGCACTCAACTGTACACACATCTTCTTTTGTTCTTTCGGTAAAGTCACGTAGAATGAGAATTAAATAATAAATTGATAAAATAAAATAACACAATAATATTCTCACGACGTTTCGGCCACAACACAAGCGGCCTTCATCAGGTGAAGGGACGAGACTGTCTGGTAGGACAGCGCTGGAGTGAAGTAAGTTAGTGGGTTTCAGAGTTTCATAAATCTACATGGTCTTACACAACCAACTTTTCCTTCAAATTGCTACAGACATGCAGTACCACATCCATCGTGTTTGCATATTAGTTTTTGTTACTCTACATTTAACGTGAACAAACCGTTAGCAAACGGACGTAATTATAGACAAGAGTGACAAAGCCAATATATTTATTCATTAAATTGCATTTTGAAAGGAAAGTCATGTTCTTATCTGATGAATGCTCCTCGAAACTTTAATTACATTTAAAAATGTGCCCTCCACATTTTAAAGGCCAGCATTGAGCATTCCCAAATGCCAGCACCACATGCTTAAATTTTACATAGAGGCTGTGTAAACACATCACTCTGAGATCATGAAATGCAAAGTTGCATACTGTAATACCTCGATATACGAAGTAGATGCGTTCCTGGAGCTTCGTTTGTATATTGAAACTTCGTATATTGAATAACTTATAACAGTACTATGAGGATGCATTCCCAGCTTTTGTAACTTACCATGTCATACGATAAACACGGTATAACTTACCATTCATATTGTAAACAAAGACATTCTATATTGAACGTTATATTTTATACTGCCCAGTATTAAAATCGATAAATAAAAGAACCGTGAAAAACATGATTGTATTATTTATTTCAATGTATTTATTTGTTATTTTCCTTTATTTTTAGCTGTATAAAATAATGTTAAAGAAAGCAAAAGTTTATTATACCAAAACTTAATTGATCGAATATATGCATATCGAAAAAAAACATCAACATTTGCATAGTGGTATTTGATAACCTCTGATTAAAAAATACCCTCTTTTGTGATTTATGATCAGATAATTATTTTCTTTGGAATTTAAGACCTTTACATATATATTCTTGTTTCCCTTCTACGTGACTTTACCGAAAGAACCAAGAATATGAATACCTGCAGTCACGAAAGCTTTACATATGTAAAGAAGCGTACTCTTTCAAATGATATTACAAGTACTCTTTGGTTCTATTCGGTAAAGTCACGTAGGTAAAAATAAAATGACAAAAAATCACGACGTTTCGGCCACAACACAAGTGGCCTTCATCAGGTGAAGGGACTGGACTGTCCAGAGGACAGCGTTGGAGTGAAGACAGCAAGCCCAGGTCGCGTCCTGTAAGCTTTAATCTCCATGGAATTGGCCTACATCATTATCCATTAGTGTACATCACAGCAAGGTCGTAGCCATGGAGTCAACATTGGAGCGGACCAAATCTTCCAGGGGGTCTGGGGGTCTTCCCCCAGAAAAAATATATCAATTTGAAAACTCATTTCCTGCCATTTCCTTCCTAAAATAAAAAAAATCACTAACACGTAGAATGGACTTTTTATTTATTATTTACAATGTCAAAGTCTAATATGTTCCATGGATTCGTTGCACTTTCCTATAGCGTAACCTAGAACGAGACTCATTCCCTTTGAAGCGGAGTGGAGAGGATTTTTGAGAGGAGGTCGAAACTTGTGGTGTCGTGATGTCTTGGGCCAGACACTGAGCTGTGAACGTCAATCAGTAGTTGACCTCTTGTCAATCCACTCACCTTTTTTTGTCAATCCACTGCTGGTTGACAACATCCCCACACCGTGCGGGGTTTGCGAAGGGGGTTATTCTATTTCACTATACTTCAGACTGGTCAGTGCGGGATGGCATAAGCATTTGTATTTTATCTGGAGTTATAAATTAATTAATAAAGTCACGTCCTTAAGCCCTGGGTCTGCACTGGGGGTGTGAATGGGAAGTCGTGTTTGTTCACAGGCTTCCCTTCTTCACACGTGTGCAGGGGATTAGCTCGGCTGTCAGGTAGGCGAAGGCATGAGTGCGGCTGAGTATTGCACAAGTGTTCCATCTCTTGGCTTTAAAGATTTTTCTCACAGTATGATTCAACAAAATTCATCAAACTTCAGTATCTGCCAAACTACTTCTGTTTGACAGTTTAATATAGCATAGCTTGAGAGTACAAATGATCTTAAGTACGCAATCCCGTTAAATCAAGTGAGGGCATTGTCTCAACACATTACCTACGGTACATACTTGATTTCATATCGGCTTGCCAATCCACTGCTGGATGAAAGCATACCCCCACCGTGATGGGGTGTTGTTTGACCATACTTCACCATGTTTGTTTAGTGCGGGTTGGTGAAGCTGGTGGCAGGAGGGGGAGGCAGACATGAACAATTCGGATATCACCACTGAACTGTGACTTAGCATGGTGCACTAACCGATACGCTACTACTCCACCCCACACTTATCTCAATACAGTATACCTTGATATTAAGGTTTCATACTGGCTGAGTGAGTGATTGGTATTGTAAGATCAACAAGTTTCAAGCCACACCACTTTCAAGCAATTAATCAAAGTTGAACACGAGACTTCCTTCGATTAGTAGCATTCTGGCTGAGGCACAAAATGGCCAGCAAATGCAACGTAAATAAAAAAATATATATATTTAACGTGGCAGCTCATGAGTTGCAGGGTTGGAAATACGTGCTGGTTTTTCATCAGTATCAATTATTCAGCTCAAAGCACGTACATCAAAAGGATCACTGTTTTTGCATATGTTATATCTAATAGGTTCACGTCACCCATGCAGGCAATGGAGGTCATACCACAGTATTCACCGAAACATTCTTAAAAATGGAATAGCGACAAAATTGTTCATACTGTACTAGTTTGTTTGCCCGTCCTAGGACGGAAGCTGTAATATTTACGAACAATTTGAGCAGAGTGTTATTGTATCTTGCGTAAATTTTTATGGCAGTGAATCTTGCACAAAACGAAGTCAT